ACAATTATCCAATGTGTTTGTTGGATAATTGAAACACATTTCACCACTGCGCCGTAAAGATGGCGCCGTGGCAAGAGCTCTGGTGTGTGTGCACACCGGGGTAGTCTTGCACAGTTTTTCCAATGTGGTTTTACTGCAAATGGCAAATAAATGAATCTGAATCTGAATCTGTGTTTATATGCCGCCTTCATTCCTATCAAAAACGACTTTACAAAATGGTTCAAAGTTGGCTCTTGGCCCAACGCTACGTTCCAGATGTGTGTCAATTCTGAGGGGAGTATTTTCTTTTGGACCAGTCTAGTTTAGCCGCTGTGTACTTTTAAATACACCTCTTAAATTAGTGGTGCTCATGCCGGGTAACATGCCCAAATGCGTTTTCTCCAATGGGGGCGGGTCCCGGCTCAAATGTGTGTCAATGCTGAGGGGGGTGAATTTTTTTGAACCAGTCTAGTTTACTCGCTGTGAAATTTTGAAGTCACTCGTTTAAATGAATGGGGCTCGTGCCGACTGACGCATGCGCAGATGCGTTTTTTCACATTTTCCAGCCCCCGCGGCCATTTTGAATCACTCCATGAAAGCCCAATGTTTGGCCCATTAGTATAGGAACAGCGGAGATAGGCTTGACTACGTCCGTTAATATATACAGTCTATGGTTTTCTCACATTTTGCCGCGGGAGAGGCTGCCCTCGGCCATTTTGAAAATGCCCACAGAAGGCAAATATGGTGTCACATTATTTTCGACGGCAGAGATATAGGCGTGACTACGTTCGTTAATAATTACAGACTATGGTTTGACCGCAGAATCTGTTCTATTTTTATCGTCCACTTCATTCCACATTTGTCCCTCTGTCTCTCTGCACCAAACACTGATAAATGTCCATGACCTTCACCTGCCGATCTCCTCACAGTCCACACGAGCTCAGGCACCAAACAGCTGCTCCCAGAGGACCAATTATACAGAAGCAGGATCACAGCGGAGACAGGAGTGAGAGATGAGGAGGACACAGGGAGAGGAGGGAGTGTGGAGGGAGACGAGGAGGAGACAGGGAGAGGAGGGAGTGTGGAGGGAGACGAGGAGGAGACAGGGAGAGGAGGGAGTGTGGAGGGAGACGAGGAGGAGACAGGGAGAGGAGGGAGTGTGGAGGGAGACGAGGAGGAGACAGGGAGAGGAATGAGTGTGGAGGGAGACGAGGAGGAGACAGGGAGAGGAGGGAGTGTGGAGGGAGACGAGGAGGAGACAGGGAGAGGAGGGAGTGTGGAGGGAGACGAGGAGGAGACAGGGAGAGGACTGAGTGTGGAGGGAGACGAGGAGGAGACAGGGAGAGGAGGGAGTGTGGAGGGAGACGAGGAGGAGACAGGGAGAGGAGGGAGTGTGGAGGGAGACGAGGAGGAGACAGGGAGAGGAGGGAGTGTGGAGGGAGACGAGGAGGAGACAGGGAGAGGAATGAGTGTGGAGGGAGACGAGGAGACAAGGAGAGGAATGAGTGTGGAGGGAGACGAGGAGACAAGGAGAGGAATGAGTGTGGCGGGAGACAAGGAGGAGACAAGGAGAGGAGGGAGTGTGGAGGGAGACGAGGAGGAGACAGGGAGAGGATGGAGTGTGGAGGGAGACGAGGAGACAAGGAGAGGACTGAGTGTGGAGGGAGACAAGGAGGAGACAAGGACAGAGAGAGGACTGAAAGAGACAAGAAAGAGACCAAAGAGAGACCAGAGGGAGGGAGACCAGAGAGAGGGAGACCATAGAGAGGGAGACCAGAGAGAGAGAGGGAGACCAGAGAGAGAGAGAGCGAGAAAGAGAAAGAGAGAGTCTAAAGAGTCTAAAGGGAGACAAGAAGGAGATGCCAAAGTGAAAGACCAGAGAGACTAGAAAGAGAACAGAGAGAGACCAGCGAGAGACCAGAAAGCGACACCAAGGAGAGATTAGAAAGAGAACAGAGAAAGACCACAGAAAGAACTGAGTGTGGAGGAAGACAAAGAAGGAGACGAGGAGGAGAAAAGGAGAAGACCGAGCTAAGGCGAGAGGAACTGAGCAGACAGAGGGAGGATAGGAGATAGGGAGAGGACTGAGAGAGACTAGAATGAGACCAAAGAGAGACCAGAGGGAGAGACAAGAGAGAGACCAAAAAGAGAGATCAGAGAGAGACTAGAAAGAGACCAGAAAGAGACCAAAGAGAAAGAGACAGAAAGAGACCTGAAAAGATTAGGGCCCTGTCCACACGAAGCTCAGGCCTAAACGCAAAAATACTTTATCAATCCAGTGTATCGTCCATACGAGGCCGGCGTTTTGGGGGGGGTGTAAACGAACATTTTTGAAAGTAGGTCCCAGAGTGGAAAGATTTCAAAACTCCGTATATGCCGCTCCGTGGTTACTGCCTCTCCGCAATGTATCTGAGACGCTTGCGTCATCGCCCCGCCTCTTGTTAAAGCACGCATGCGCCGCACTCAGAAAATAATGACAACAACAATGTAGCTTGTTGGTTTTGTAATCCAGTGCGACCCGAAGCAACAGTTCAACCTCATCGTCCGTCCATACTAATGTAGTACCAGCTCGCCCACTCGCCATGTTGTCTGTTTACAAAATTCCGCGCATGCCCAGTTCCCGTCACGGAAGTTTGGGCTTGATCCCGTCATTGCGTCACAGCGCCACCAACAGGTCTGGCATAGTTTCACAGCGTTTTCAGGCGTATTGACTACATTCATATGGACGCACACATTTACTGAGCTAACTCCGTGTTTACAGAAAAAGTTTCTGAAATTATAAGCGTTTTGTCTTCGTGTGGATATAGCCTAGGTTGCAAGACGGGTTGAAAGGCAAGTCAAGACAACACACCGGCCCGTGTTGGTCAGTGGAAGGAGGAGGCGACTTCTGGATTTGTGGTCAAAGAAATCGTGTTTTTGCTTCGGGGAAAACAGACATATAGGTTTTTGATGAGGGAGCAATGTTGAAACGTGGTTAAAAGCCTTTTCCCTGGAACACTCCCATTGTGTTTTGAATAGAGGGAGACTGAAGACATATAGAGAGCAGAGGTTTGAATCTAGCCATTTGGGAATCGGACAGAATCCAGAGCTCACTGCCCCCGTTGTCAAACCCACTGTCCAGGACCCACCAGCACCGTATGAATAAACCATCCACCTCTCACACTGTAGCAGCCAAAACTTTTATTATTTGATTTTTACTCAGGCATATGACACTAGCAATGAATCAGTCACTTTAATATATGAGGAAAGGAGCAGCGGGTGGAAATGGAAGAGGAGCGAGACACAGCCATCTTCTGCCTCTCTGTGTGTGTGTGTGTGTGTGTATGTGTGTGTGTATGCGTGCGTGTGTGTGTATGAGTAAGAGTGTGTGTGTGTGAGGGAGGATGTGTGCGTGTGTGTGTGTGTCATATAGTGATCAAATTCACAAAGCTGTCATATCTCTCTGTATCTCCGGTCGTTTATGGTCTCTTTCTGGTCTCTCTCGTGTCTCTCTCTCTCTCTGGTCTCTCTCTGGTCTCTCTCTGGTCTCTCTCTGGTCTCTCTCTATGGTCTCCCTTAATGAGAAAATCATGAGACTAAAGTAATATGTAGTAAGACCAGAGAGAATCGAGAGAGACTAGAGAGAGACCAGAAAGAGAGCAGAGAGAGACTGAAGTGGAAGCGAGTGAGGCCAGGTTCTGTGTTAATATTACTAGAAAACTAGAAGGTCAGACAAAATGACACGGGGGCCAGGATTCCCCGGGGGCCGGACTTTGGACATGCCTGCTCTGAAGCAAGTGTGAGCTTGGAAAAATAAAAACATCGGTAACATTCCCAAACTCTGAGAGAAGTCCATTTGTTGGGACTTCTTTCAGATTTAAAAGTTTAAAAGTGGGTCAACCAGAGAAACGACTTGGTTGGTATCGTTGGTATAATATCTATCTGAAGTTTTAGAACCATCATTATATCCTTCCACATACCCAAGTCCACAGTATCAACCAGCCAACTTCAGCTCACCCAATAGTGGGATATTGTAACTCGTACCACAAAATACGCACAGTGCTCAAAGGGAAGGCCCTGTCCCCCTGGTGTAAGACCACAGAAAAGGCTCTGTCCCCCTGGTGTAAGACCACAGAAAAGGCTCTGTCCCCCTGGTGTAAGACCACAGAAAAGGCCCTGTCCCCCTGGTGTAAGACCACAGAAAAGCCTCTGTCCCCCTGGTGTAAGACCACAGAAAAGGCCCTGTCCCCCTGGTTTAAGACCACAGAAAAGGCCCTGTCCCCCTGGTTTAAGACCACAGAAAAGGCTCTGTCCCCCTGGTTTAAGACCACAGAAAAGGCCCTGTCCCCCTGGTTTAAGACCACAGAAAAGGCTCTGTCCCCCTGGTGTAAGACCACAGAAAAGCCTCTGTCCCCCTGGTGTAAGACCACAGAAAAGGCTCTGTCCCCCTGGTGTAAGACCACAGAAAAGCCTCTGTCCCCCTGGTGTAAGACCACAGAAAAGGCTCTGTCCCCCTGGTGTAAGACCACAGAAAAGGCTCTGTCCCCCTGGTGTAAGACCACAGAAAAGGCTCTGTCCCCCTGGTGTAAGACCACAGAGTAGGCCCTGTGTCTCAAGGTTTTAAGTCTCGTCTTTTGCCCCACAAGCTGGAACTGGCCCTTGGACCTCAGCATACGAGGTGTGCTGTGGAGCCAGTCCATTCAAAGCTTTGACAACAAAAATTAAAACACAAATTAATACCCAAATAATTCTAGAACTTTCTGAGAGCCAGTGCAAAGATCTGGATCTACAGCCTCAGTCCTGGATCTACAGTCTGTTCGTCTGTGGGAGCGGGTCCCTCTCTGAGACGAGTGCTGTTGTGATTTACGCCGGTACACAAATACATAGAATCTCTTATACATCTCTAATACAAACACCACATTTGCTCTTTAAAGTCCACATATCCTTTATCCGCCGGCTTCTCGCTTCTGCGTTCACCCGAGAGGAATGAGCACCACAGTGTCCACACGAATCCACCAACACCAGGGTGAAAAGACATTATAACATGTCCCCAAAACAGCCCAGATCCGGTCGCCCGCACTTCACACGTCTGTGGCGGATCAGTGCTGGTCGAGCGCTCCGGCCGCGGGCTGATCTGCCGCAGCCACAACACGAGTTCATTGATTTCTTAAAACGCAGCGCGACCTGAAAGGCCTCTCTTCACGCTGGCTGCCTTTCTGGGCTACGTCGAGCTCGTCTGCAGCCGCTAGCACCATTAGCCTGTGTTTGTCGCTAATCAAGCTAACGCAGAGACACCGGGCGATTAATGCAAGGAGAAAGCTGCGGCGCAATTAGTGCCGAGCGTCCAGCGGATGACACGGTTTAAGAGGCTTTTAATGATGTGGGGGTCGCACTCTCACATTGTACTGCATTAGATACAACACACACACACACACACACACACACATACACACACACAGTAAATATATAATGTTAGTCTGCTAGTTCAATGAAGTTTGCAAAAGTAAACTCCTCTAGCTCAGTAACCATTTGTGTCATACTCACCCTCTCTGTGATGCTGGTGTTTATATTGTGATATTGTCTTTGTAAAACCAGATATGAACCTTAAAGTAGCAATATGTAAGATTTTCATGTCCAGTCATCATTAAATAGCGCTAAGCTCTGAATGAAAATAGCGCTAAGCTCTGAATGAGCTCTGAATCAGGATTCAGAGCTCATCATAGCACTGAAACGGCACTAGTCAAAGTCACAAATGACTTACTACTAGCTGCCGATAATGGACAAGTGTCAGTGCTGGTCCTACTGGACCTTAGTGCTGCATTTGACACAATAGACCACAGCATTCTACTGCAGAGGCTAGAATGTGATATAGGTCTTAGAGGAACAGCCCTTGGCTGGTTTAAATCCTATTTATCAGATCGATATCACTTCGTCAATGTGAATCAGGACTCGTCGCCTTATTCTGGAGTAGAATTCGGTGTGCCGCAGGGTTCGGTACTCGGACCGATTCTTTTTACTCTCTACATGCTGCCACTGGGAAACATTATTAAAAAGCATGGAATTAATTTCCACTGCTATGCAGATGACACACAACTTTATCTGTCGATGAAGCCTAATCAGACAGATCAGCTAGAAAAGCTCAGTGCCTGCATAAAGGACCTTAAAATGTGGATGACTCTTAACTTCCTACTTCTCAACCCGGAGAAGACAGAAGTGATCCTACTCGGTCCGAAGCGCCTGCGTGACTCCCTCACTAACCAGATAATTACTCTCGATAATGTCAGTATAATACCCAGTAACACTGTGAGGAATCTTGGAGTCATTTTTGACCAAGAACTCTCCTTCAAGGCTTATATAAGCCAAGCAACTAAAACGGCGTACTTCCACTTACGGAACATCGCTAAAATTAGGAATTTCCTTCCTAAAAGTGACGCGGAAAAACTCATTCACGCGTTTGTCACCTCAAGGCTCGACTACTGTAACGCTTTATTGGCAGCATGCCCTAAAGCCTCTTTGAAGAGCTTCCAGCTCGTTCAGAATACAGCAGCTAGGATCTTAACAGGTACCAAAAGGAGGGAGCACATAACTCTGGTGTTAAAATCACTCCACTGGCTCCCTGTGGAGTACAGAATAAAGTTTAAAATCCTACTCTTAACATATAAAGCCATAAATGGCTTGGCTCCTTCTTATCTCCAAGACACGTTAGTGTCGTATCAACCAAGTCGAGCGTTGCGCTCACAAAACGCCAGACGTCTGGTGGTCCCTAAGGTCTCAAAGGTCACTGTTGGTGGCAGAGCATTTAGCTACCAAGCTCCTTTACTGTGGAATCAGCTTCCCATTTATGTTAAGGAAGCAGATACGGTCTCCACATTCAAGGCCAGGCTTAAAGCACTTTACTTTAATTTAGCATATAATTAGGTAATATATAATATGTGGTGTATATATTATATATATATGCTGTATTATGTTATATATTATGTTATATATTATTCAATAATGTATTGTGTTATGTTGTATATTATGTTATATATTATGCTGTATGTTATTCTTTATTCAAGGCTAGGTTTAAAACAGTCCTCTTTAGTTTAGCATATGGCTAGGAAGGTAAGACTCGGAGAAGGTTAAACTCCTCAGAGTGTCAGTCAAGCTGCATAGGGAGTCAGTTTGCTGGGAGAAGTATGGTAACTTGAGCACTATCCTCTCCTCCTTCCTACTTTATCTGTTTAGCATTTTTAGGATTCTGACTGTAGTTTGTTCATTGCTAGTTTGTTCATTGCTATTCACCCGTCTGACCTGCGGACTGCCCCGCCCGACCCGCCTGGGAGTGCTTCGGTCCTGCACCGGACCTGTCCACGTTCAGCGTCCACTGGTCCACGTTCTGTAGCTAGCTTAGGTCCTAGATCATTAGTCTGTCCGTCCGGAGGAGCGGATCCCTTTCTCATATGGGTCTCCCTCCCTGTGGGTTTCCCTAGTTCTCCTCCAAGGTTTCTCACTTTTTCCCACTGGGTTTTTTAAGAGTTTTTCCTTGTCGATGCAGAGGGTCTTGTTGGACAGTTAGTGTCCAACAGAAAGGATTGGTGATGATCAGGACACTTTAGCATTCTACAACATGTATGGACATTTTCTTCTGTGTGTGCTTTATACTGTATTCTTCATGTGTTTTAACTGTTGATTCTCTGACCTGTGAGTTGGTGATTTCAATGGTTTTGTTAAGTCCTCTGAGATGACTTCTGTTGTGACCTAGGGCTTATACAAGAAAAAATTGTATTGTATGTGATGAATTGTATGTGCTTGTGTGTGCGTGTGGTAATGTGTGGTGTGTGTGTGTGGTTTCACACTGGAGAGACCGAGGTGTTGCCTGGGCCACAGGAACTGTCCTGCCATGAAGTGGAGACCGAGGGTCAGAACATTGATGAAGTTATTCCCAGCAGAGCTATAGTATTGTTTAGGTGATATGTGTTGTGCAACCTATACATAAAATCTAAAGTTATTTGCAGTTTAAGGTGAATTAGTGGTTATTAATGAAGGATCAGGTAATGTAAAAATAACTCAATATCAGTCTTAACCTATATTTGACATTCAGGTAATCACCACTCTTTGCAGTAATGTTAAAAACTGGTTATCACTGTACCTGTCATGTCTGGTCATGTCATCCATGTCCTTCCCCTTTATTTGATCCATTTCTGGTCCGGGGGGGTGGGCAATGCAAGCTGCTACCCAAGTCGCAGTGCACCATCCCTCGCTGATCCTCCTGGCAGGTGTGGGACCACGGTAGAGATTGCTTCTCCGTCATTGAAAAACATAGGCCTTGATCTTTCAGCGGGCTCACTGTACTCAGTATGGAAATTATCCAGTTATAAGGTATAAAGCGGCTTTGGCAACAGAGATTGACCAATAAATTGAAGGAGCGACATAGTGAAATATCTGCCATTGGTCTTAAATCTAAAAAGAGTTAGATCTTTTGAAAGCACATTGTTTAACAACAACATAGTTTAGTAAGTAAAAACAATGACCCCAAAACAATTGGTGAAATCATCCAAAAAAACAAACAAAATCTGAATCGGGTCGACAAGACAATAACACCGACTTAACATCAAACACGGCAACAACAACCCAAAAAAAAGCTTTGAATTCAACATTGTGGTCCTGGGACACCCTCAGCTCCAGAACTGAAATCGCCCTACCTCCGTCACACCCTGGGCCTGGTTTCCACGCAGCACTAACCGCTACCACATGGCCCAGAGCATAGTCTTCAGTCTTGGCCCAGATGGTGCATTTGCATCACTCTCAATTTTCTCCTGACAGGTCGGAGCACCAAATCTAGAAAAATCTCAAACCCACATTGGCAAATTGGTTTTAAGCCTGACGTCATTGTGGTGTTCGCAGAATGTACAGACAAAATGCAAAGCAGATGGTCCGTGTTTACTATGTTAACAAGCGTTTCTGAAACATCCCATACATCTGAAATAAGTGTCAAAACTAATTTAGCATTGGCTTTTTAGAAACACCGTGACTAAAGGAAAGTGGTATTGTGCCACTGACAAGACCAAACCTATTTAAAAAAGCATGCGAACGGATTTATCATTGGTACGTCACTTGACAACATAGAATTGGGCAAGTTAGGAATTGTAGTAATATGCACTTTTATAACAAGGAAAAAAAAACAGCAATCTCCAAGCCAAATAAACTTAACTCAAATAAGTTTTTTTTTGAGGTCCATGGATTAAGTGTAAATATGTTGTGTTTTATATGTCAAAACATTACAAACATCCTAAAAGTTCACATTGTGTCTTTTATGTCATTATGTCCCTCGTAATTTTAGTAAAAAGTCAGACTTCTAGTCATAACTAAAACGGTCAAGTTCCTCATCTTCTTGACAGTACAAAATCAACACAGTATGGTCTAATCATGTTCTCATTAACGTGTCAAGATGTGGGTGACAAATAAAGACTGCATTGATGTTGGCAGTTGAAAGAGACTTTCAGGCATAAGAATATTATGCGGTTTACGAATCTAATCTTCCTCAAATAATGATCTGAGCAAAAAATTCGGACATTAATTTTTCGAAACTCTTTCACATGTTATTCATTACCATATAGTTAATTGGCACACATGCAAGTGAAGAAGGGCTCACTACTGTTGGTATAATCAAGGCTATAGTCTCTTGAATTGATAGAGATTGAGATATATTGCCTAAAAGTGATGTCTGTGATTCCGATTGGTCTATGCCTAACGATTCCGAGAACAATCAATCAACACATTTAAATGTTAATCGAGAACACATTTTGACATACAAGTCCTTCATAACGTCACATTACTCTTGTCACCTTATTGCACTGCTTACTGCTATGTGGTGTGCACCATGTGCACTTGATGGGCTTGTTCACACTAAAGGCACAGAAAGTGTGACTAAAGCAAAAGGTTTATTTTAATAATCCAAGATATTTCATGTTTTTCAGTCTCCAAACACCTCCTCTGTCATTAGAGTGGCTATAACATAAACTGGTTTTTTACATTAGACCCAAGTTTTCTATAGCGGCCCTGTTTATTTTACTAAACGGACGTGATGATTTGACGGAATGAGCTTTGTGAAGATAGTTACGTATTTCAGATGTCCACATTTGATTAAGAGA